AATTATTACTGTTATTCGATCTCACAATCTTCTAATAGCACGCATCATTCTTGTTTGGTTGATTGAAAGTTAAGATCATTTCGTCATGGAGTCATTTTTATCCGGATTTAGCAATAGATCGTTGTTAAAGAATTCTCTCAGGCTTATATACCACTTGATCTTCCATATTCCTATTAATATTATTTTTGTTGTTAGGTCATTTATTCAGAACTTTCATAAAAACTAAAAGTGAGAAAAAAGATATATATATTATATATTATCACTAAAATATATTACATTATCACTGTTATAATATATATTATATTATCACTAATTATTCACGGATCAAATTTTGTTCGAATGGAGTTATAAATATAGCTGAAGCGAATAATTATGGGTATGAAAGATTAATTTTCCAAGCATAAAATTACACATCGAACTATTTCATGACTATACAATATCTACTCTATATTGTTTTATTCCAACGAAATAGTCGAGGTTTGCCTATTTGTGCAAACTTGCCCGAAGCATTTAACGCTGATAGCCTTTTTTATATTCCATCGAAAAAGTTTCAATTTTTTTATTATTCTGATTTTGCTGCAACAAATAATATATTACTTCAATGAAATTTATAAATTTTTTGAGCAAATGTTAGAGTGCAGGATTATTAATCCAATTTTCAATCAAATGTGTTTCGAAGATAATTTATTCGAATTTCCTGTAAATTAGAATATAAGTTACCATAGTTAGTTTGAATATTGCAGTTTTATTTTGCAATAAAATCATAAAATAATTGCAATAAAAAGGAAAAAACCTGAAATTAAAATTGAGATTGATGTACGGTAGGTTTCACACCTTCGCATTTTCCAACTTTTTTCTTAATTCTTTGAAGGAAATTCGTAAGTTCGATTTAAAATATTATTTTTGGGAAAAAATTATTAACCAACCTTCAAAGTTTATCCGACTCCAAGTTTAACGAAGATTTTTTTTTCTGTTTTGTTCTTTGTAAATAATTTTTCTTTAAAAAGACGATGATATTCTTTTTTTTAATCCGTGATTATCATTGTTTGTTTTCATTAAATATTTTTATTACCAACACTCACTCACCATTACTGATTTGGTTGACTTTTGCTGAATCTCACCATGATATAACGAGAGGTAATGTCCTCAGAACAGCACTCTGCTTTAACTTTTTATTGCAGATATATTTTCGTCAAGGAGCACAGAATCGAATTTGTGATACATTCGTATTCAGCCATCCTTTCCCAACATGTAACTCTAACACTGCATATTTTTCATATCTTATTCGCATGTTTTAGTATTTCTGCAGATAAATTCTAATTTAAAGGATGTTTCCATAATATTTCCTTTCATCCTTTTTTCCATTCTCACAATTTTTCATTTCCTTCATTATTTCATTTAAAATAAACAAATAAAAACTCAAAAATTGGTTAAGAATAAGTTTGGAAATATCTGAAACATCATAAGAAAATAGACCTCTTTTGCTCTTAACCTTCATATTTTCATTGGTTTCTCGTTATTATGCGAGTAGGTAATAATAAGTAATAATTACCGCCTATCTTTTCGGAATTCTGGTTGACATACTTTTTTCAGAGAATCGTTTATTAGATCGTCAGCAGCGGATTTTTAAATAACAAGTTTGCTCCCATAAATCTATTTATGATCTGATCAGATCTTTTTATTACTATTACTATTATGAATTATAAAATGTTAATTATTCGCTGAATCGTTAATATTAGAGAATGAAACAAGATTTTTTCCATAAATATTGGCTGCTGTATGTTATATCCTTTTTTTTTTTTACTTTTTACTTTTTATTCTTCGCTTATATATTGGATTTATTGAAATTGCAATTGAAATTGTTATTAAAAGACAAATTAATAATTGATGAGAAAAGTTGATTGTAAATTTATAAAATTTAAAAAGTTAAAATTTTTCATTAACGAATGACGGACGACTGGTTTTGCAATTTTCATTGTCAATGAATTTCTCAAAAATTTTTTCTCCCATAAAAATTAAGAAATTAAAAAGTCCGAAAATATTTCTTTCTTCATTGCTTAAATACATTTCCTTTTGTCTTTTCATGAAATTTTAATTTTTTCTTCCCTTTAATTGATTTTCTAATTTTTTTATGAGAACCAATATAAACAAAGCATTGAAAGGAATGCTGAAAATTGGATTAAAAAATGCAAAAAAAGTGCAAATTAATTCATATAATTAAGAAAACAAATATTATTGACAATTTTATCTAAAGCTGTTATCAATGTTAACAGTGAACTGTGAACGACGATTTTAAACAACCTCATTGATCGCAGTGTTAAGCACTGGCATTTAGGGACAGACGAAAAAATAGCAAGTAACTTCTAATAAAGAAACAGTGGGACAATAAACTGGTTTAAGTAATTTTGATCCATAACTTCTCGTAATATTGAAATTCAAGTGAAAATTAAAATAATCTGCAATAAACGTAAATTACGTGAATAAAGATCTTATAGATAAAGGTCAGAATTATCTAATTTTAGCTTAGATTTATAATGAAGAGTGATGATTTATACGGTGTAGGAAAATATTCCATTAATTTTACTGATCTGCAATATTTAGGTGAGAAACAAATGTTTATACATGCTGAAAAGGCATGGCTTATTCCTAGTTTCTTTTTAAGCATAAGGTAAGGTTTCAAATTCTAGAAGGCTTGCTAATGACACTTAATGCAAATTAATGTCAGGATTTTTATCAGCAAATAAAGCAATATTTGAAAAATTGCTTAATAGTATTAATGTAAAGTTATCAACAACAATAAATAAAAAATCGAAGCGTTTAGCATTTATAAAATTTTGTATATATTGATTAATAGATAACTTAATCTATATTTCCTGAAGTAAGCTATATTATTCAGGTCATTCTGAAAAATTCTCCAATCTGCCGTATAATAAACTTTGCAGTTATAAAAAAATAGTAACGCCATTAATATATATTAAAAATAATATAACCCAAAAATAATATAAGTAATAATTTAATAAGTAATAAATTAATTTAAGGACACCAAATTTAAGGCAGAATCATGTATTACCTCATCAGCATGAACAGTTTAGCCTTATTTCCCATTTATATAAAACATCAGTAATTTCCAATTTGTTAATTACTGGAAATCGTGCAGTAACCAGTGGCCAATGACAGATCAGGAAAGTTGTTGGTATTGGTCTCTTTCCTGAGAAATCCATGTTGAAATTCAGGCATTAATTTATTTGCCTTAAGTTGACTGTGTAAGACTGCAATTAAGTCTTTCTAATAACCTACAACTAAAACAAATAATATTAGTAGGCGATCTGAAAAAAAAGGTTATGTGCATCATTTTTTTAAAAATAGGAGTTGCATCTGAAAGTTTACAAATTTTAGGATTAACATCAGAATTGAAAATGTCATTAAAAATTAAAAATAGAGGTAAGGCTAGAAGGACTGCTCATTTTTTATAAAGAATTTGGTGATTCTTCCTTCTTTTTCGATTGGTAAATCATTCTTTAGCGTTGCTGATTTTATGAAATCAACGGAAATTTACTTTTCGAAATCCTAAAATTTCCTCTCCAAAAATTCATTTTTCAGTTTTTGGAAAAAGTTACTAGTGAAATGAAACTTTTCTCTTCCTTGCACTCATCATTTGCATGAAGTTTTCTTGTCGCATAGGTTATCATTTCATGCATTAACGTTTAATTTTTGCCGTTGGCAAGAATAACGTTTATTTTTACATGAATATCATTAAATATTTTGTCATTAAATTTATTATTAATTCATAAAAAATATTACTGGGTTTTCAAAATTTTCTCAGCGCTAATCGATTGGTGCCGTCGATTTTTTTCCAAATCTCATATAAGCTTTTAGTTTAATTAAGTTTCGTCTTATTTATTCGTTTTTGAAATATCGATTCTCGAAAGATTAATTGTTGCCCAATTCGTTATCATTTTTACTTCAACGATTCCTTCGAAGGTGCATTTTTAATATTCCTTTTTCTTCTTTCCGTTTTAGAATGACGGATTTCCCATATTTTTTAAATTCCTCACGCTTTTCTTTATTTATTTTTGTTTTCATTGGCATTATTGATGGCTGAAATTTTTTCTCAAAAAGGCATAGATAAACCGATAAATAAAATAAAACCAAGCCTTTCAATTTGAAAACCTTTTTCTGGACTCGTTTAATGTGCTTCATCATACCATCTTTCACCACTGTTAGTGATTTCTACAGCTTTTCTTCGACCCCGTTCGACCCCGTTCATTGCACAGATGGCATCTCAAATGAGCACCACAACCACTTCTGGATTCGAATATGGTGAGAGGGGGGACCGCATTTCTCATCGTGGAGGCCGCGAATTTTCGAACTTTGTTTTTTGCGAGTTCAAATATTTTGCTGATTCGAAAAATGAAAATTGTTTTTTTGCTGAGTCGTCGTTTATTTATTCATTTCATTTTGACTTATTTTATAGAAAAGAAGAAGGAAAATTTTGACTTTGGACAATGAAAAAACCACTTTTGTTTTTCATTTAAAGGGGAATCTTATTATTTGTCCTTTCGACGAAAAAAGTTTCTTTAAACGAATTTAATTTCTTATATTTTAACAAAAACACTATTTCCATTCCTTCAATAGGCAATTTTTCAAAATTGCCGAAATTATGGGAGGAAACTGAATTCATTTTCTTCGCGTTCATTTCTTTAAAAATGTATTTGACAATTGTTCCGTTTTTAAAATATTTCGTTATTTCTATTTTTTATGTTAAATGAGTTTAATCACGAGCAAAAATTTTTTTTGCTTCCTTCAAGTGCATTCAGAATATTGATTCGCATTTATAAGATTTTGAAAGGCGTTATTCTGATAACTGAAAAAACTTTGACTACCGGTGGGGAGTCATTGCATCGGCCGACAATTAGTAATGATCTGTCATAGACCGAAAAATTTCCACACTTTTATAAATTTTTTCTTGATTTGTTCAAAATTTTAAGTCCATTCTGTGGATGGTCTTTTAGAATTTTGCATTTTAAATTGTATAATCTGATTTCTTCATTGGCTGTCATTTTTTATGTATTATTTACTCGCTCGTTGAGTTGCTCGTTCAGCTTTTTTCCAGAATTTTAAAATTCTCTTTTGTTTAAGCAGATTCGAGGAAAATCTCCAGTCCTGGCTGGCTGGAAGCAAAAAAGTAGTATCTTTTTACATTCTGCACGCATTCCTGATGCAATTGGCATTTGCGTTTGCACGGTTGAAAAGATGACTGATATAGCGAAAGAGACAGTCAATACAGCTGTTAATTGTCACGGTTACAACAATAATAGTCAAATGGAAAATGATGAACGGATTGTTGAAACAAGTTTGCATTCGAGTTTTGAATTTCGGCCATCGCAAAAAAGTGGAAATGATAAGAAAGGTTTACGAAGCAAATCACCTGGGGCTTTCATTGAACGGCTTTCGAGTTTTGCTCGAGGCAAGTATCGAAGCAGTCTTAGTGAAAAATCGTCATCTTCAAAGATTCTAGATGAACTTCCGAAAAGGGTTTTCTTATTTTATTTTATTCTTAAAATATTCGTATTGCAATACTTCCGTAGTGACGCATAATTTAATGAATAATATTTCCTTTTTTTCTATTCACAAACACTTATGATAAGAAAAAGTTTGATTTATTGCAGTAGGAATTCTTTTCATTTTTAATTTCTTGTTTTTTTTCGATTTATAGATTTTTTAATTAATGCAGTTCAATAAAAATTTTAATTTTACTTTGTTTTTGCAAAATTCTTCGTTTTTTTTAGACTGAGAGCTATTTTTGAGAACAAAAGTTTAGCACTAAGAAAGATAGCAATAAAATTAAATTTAAAAGAGACCAGCAGTTTTTTTTACTAATTTATATTTGACTTATGTATTAAGGATAATAAAACTAGAAATAAATAGTAATTTGATGTTAGTAATTTGATTTAATGAAACGATGGAAAAATTTGTTGTAATATTAATATAAAGAATTTAACGAATAATATAAATAAGTTTACAGTGAAATGCCAATCACGGAGGTATTATTTATAGAATTATGCCATTATACTAGTTTAGTTTCCATCTCTAGTTAAATACGATTGGGAAGACGGCACAATTTCAAAATATATTCTTTTATCTTGTCGTTTCTTTACATTTTGATAATATTTGATCAAATATTTTATTTAATTTTTCGTTTATATGGCTATGGTTTGTTTTCTAGTTTTTCTAATTATTATTTTAAATGGTTCTAAATGAATATTTGAATAAATAATTGGTTCATCAAAATGAATAGAAAAGTAATTAATTGATATTGATTGGCAATTTGACTTATTAAGCTTCATTAAGGTGTTAAAATGAAAAAGAATTATTTTTTCCAGAAAATTCTTTTGTCTGATTTAAAAATACATTTTTTAAGGACATACATCGTGAGTTGATCAAATGTCGTGAGACAAGTGCAAGGAGATTAGATCTTAGTTCATCGGATGTTAGTTTTTTTTTTTTTGGTGTTAAACTGAATTACTTCCTGGTTGTTTTGATATTTCGAAATCATCTTCATGATAAAAATTTTTTTGAAAAATTCTTTATTGAAAATGATTGATTGATTTTTGGAAAATGGCATGGAAATATAAAATGTATTATCCGTAATTTTTTTCAAATTATAATTCATATATTTTTATGCCTGCGAAAAACATAGTTTCAGATTGTCAGCATACCTACAACTATCCGCGATTTAGTTCAATTAACGGAACTATTTCTTTATAAGAACAAATTGAACGTGCTTCCAGCCGAAATTGGAAATTTGGTTAACCTTAAGAAACTTGGATTAAGTGAAAATGCCTTGACATCGTTGCCTGATAGTTTGGCATCTTTAACACAATTAGAAACCCTCGATTTACGGCATAATAAGCTCTGTGAGGTGATTGGTTGTATCTATATTGTATTGGTATATTATATTTTTTACATTGGTTATTTCTGCTTGGATAATACAAATTTTGCTAGAATTTTGTTCATTTTTGTTCATTTTTTATAAACATAAAATTCAGCTTCCTCCTGTAATATACCAAATAGAATCCTTGGAAACACTGTGGTTGCGCTACAATCGAATTGTTGCTATTGGCAGTGAAATCGGTCGATTGAAACGATTGAAAATGATTGATTTACGGGAAAATAAGATCCGAGAATTACCTGCAACGATTGGTTGTCTCAAATCTTTAGTTGTTTGTTTAGTCAGCTATAACCATTTGAAAAGTGTTCCAGATGGTTGGTTTCATTTTGTTTTATAATTTTTAAGGAAGTTTTCACATGTTTTCAAATATATTTTTAAATAAACTTTTATTTATTACTAATTATTTATTATTTAGTAATTTATCATTTATTTGGTAATAATTGGCTCACCAGTTATAAATAAAAATTTTTCTTGGTTTTGAAAAATTGGTTGTAACGTGGGTCTCATTATTTCAACATAGTGTTTTTTCTCAGACATTGGCGATTGCACAGAACTGACTCAGCTAGATCTGCAACATAATGATCTCGTATTTTTGCCATCAACTATGGGAAATCTATTGAACTTGATTCGCCTTGGTATTCGATATAATAAATTACGCAGTCTACCCAATAGTCTTTCAAAATGTCATAAGTTAGAAGAATTCATTATAGAAAGTAATCAACTGGAAGCATTGCCGGTTCGTCCAATCAGAAATTATTTTCCGATTCTTATAAATGAGACTGAACGATGCATCATTCCGTATAAATTGATATTCAGTTACTAATGAAACGATTTGTTTTAATGAAAAAGATCGCATAGATTATTTCTTTATTTATCCATATATTTATTTTAAATTTCTTAAAAAATTTTAAATTCTTCGAAGTTATTGTTTTATTACTTTAGGATGGAATGCTTTCTTCACTTCCGAATTTAAAAACTATAAATTTGAGTCGTAATGAATTAACTAATTTTCCATCTGGCGGTCCTCAACAATTTTCATCAGCAGTGGTTTTTTTTCTTTTGCAGTTTTTTATTCAATTTGTTAAATGGTTCTTTTCAATTTTTTATTTAAAAAATTGAAAAACTCGTTTTAAATTAATCTAAATTGTTTACAGTTTAAACTTTTGGAATTTTCTATTTAATTTCAGTTTTATTTCCTCATATCATTTTTGCCTTTATTTTACAGTCTGTTAACATGGAACATAATTCAATTACAAAAATTCCATTTGGCATTTTTTCAAAGGCTCTATGCTTAACGAAATTGAACCTGAAGGAAAACGCTCTAACTTCATTGCCTCTTGGTATTTGCAATATCTTTTATTTTGCAGATTTGGCTTATGTTTTAAATTTTTTTTATCAACTAGTATTTGACATTTTCATATGAAATGTCATTAAATTTTCTGCAAATTATATAGATGTCTCTCTTTTGTTTTATAAAAAATTGTTTTAAAAAATGGAAACAAATGAATAACTCTGAGTTGTATTCTTCCATTTACATCTTCTGTTAGAGAAGTACATAGTATTAAAAATGGATTTTCATTTTAAATTTTTTCTTCATAAATTTCCAGGAATGTCAATAAATCTTAACGAATTCATAATATATTTTTATTTTTTCAAATTGAACTTTATTAAATTCGAATTAAAAGTTAAATTAAATTAGATATGGGTGGCTGGACTGCTATGGCTGAACTCAATTTATCCACAAATCAATTACGAGTACTTCCGGATGATATTGATAAATTGGTTAATTTAGAGGTTAGGTCTTGATTTTTCCATTTTTTCAGAAAAGGATTTATAAATATTTTCTGTAATTTTTATGAAAAGTAATTTTTTTCTTTAATTGTCAAATAATATTTATTTAAGATATTGGTGCTGAGTAATAATCTATTGAAGAAATTGCCACCCCAAATAGGAAATTTGAAAAAGTTGCGTGAACTTGATCTCGAAGAAAATGAATTGGAATCTATACCTAATGAAATAGGTAATATTTTTTTATTTCTGGAAAATTTTAAACATTCGTTGCAGTATTAATGTTAATACTTCAGTTTATTCAGTTTAGTTTATGATAAATTAATCCAGAAAAAATTATTAATTAATTTGTAGAAAAAGCAGAAAAAATTATTAAGAAAATAAATTTTTCTTGATTTTCTCTATGTTTAATTTTTTAAAAGTGAGAAAATAAGAACCATAATTTTTAAAATATTTTTGTTATCATCGAATTTCTCATTATTAAACACTTTTAATACTATTATTTTTATTTTTATTATTTCTTGTTAACTTTTAGGTTTCGTAACAACACTTACAAAGCTGTGGGTTCAGTCTAATAAGCTTGTGAGCTTGCCACGAACCATTGGGTTAGTTCCTCATTTCGAAGTAAATTATTTTTTATTATTGAATATTTTCTTATTCTTTTATTTTTTTGTATTTAATATTGTTTTTCCAGGAATCTTACCAATTTGAGCGATCTCAGGACGGGTGAAAATAATTTAACGTCGCTTCCGGAAGAAATTGGTTTGTTTTTGCCCTATATTTGAAAAACATCCATAAAAAATTAGGTTGGAATTTCGTAATGGAATAAAATTATTTATGGTTTCATTGTAATTAAATATTATAAATTTATTGTATTAAATATCAGAATCAAAAAATGTATTATTTCATAAAATTTTTTGATTCTTAAGTGCATTGCTTTATTGACTTTTTATTGTGAATTTCAATATATCAAAATGTTAAAAATAATTTTAAAATTTAAAAATAATTGATTCTAACAACAAATCTTTTTTATCGGCATTTTTACTTATATTTTTTAGTTTTGTTTCATTTATTTTTACAAGATAACAATAAATCTCTTTTCAAATCAAACTAAATTAAATAATCAAGCGAGATACTTAGAACTGGAAATTATGGAAGTGTAAGTAAAATCTTATATAAAGTTCAAACTTCGAATTACCAATAGAATTTTAATTCGTCGTCTATATTTTAAGGTAAAATTCCTTGTATATCGAAATCCTACTAAGAAAACTTCTTTCTGAGTTTTGCTTGTTTTTTAAAATATTTTTTGAGTTAAATTCTTTCAGGAAATCTGGATTCTTTGAAAAGTTTGTATATAAATGACAATCCTTCGTTACATAATTTGCCATTCGAGCTAGCGCTTTGTGCATCTCTTGAAATAATGTCGATCGAAAATTGTCCGTTGTCACAAATTCCACCTGAAATTACAGTTGGAGGACCATCGCTTGTCATTCAAGTTTGTTTAGAAATTTATGGGTTATAAAAAAATTTATAAACGAAAATAATAAGTTGTAGTTATCATAAAAAAATTATGTTTTGTCTTTAATTTTACAATTTTTTTCTAAATTTTTTCTAAATTTTTTTCTGTTTCTTGGAAATTTTGGAATTTTTCGTTTAATTTCACCTGAATTGTTCCATTTATTTCGTTTATGCTAGTGATTTTTTTTAAATTGATTAAAATGAGTTTTTAAGTATCTCAAAATGCAAGGACCATATCGAGGAGTTGTTATGAACATGTGAACATCGATCATACATCTCGAACGTGGTTTTTCAGGTTTCATGTGTAATTTCTTAATTTCTCATTGAAAGCTCTGACAAGTTTGCTCCATGTTTTTCTACTTCAGTTTTTTATTATTATTTTGTTTGTTTTCATAAATTTTTGATGTTTCTACAGACTATTTTTGTGCCCTTGTGGTTATATAAAGTATTCACCTCCTTAAATTGAACTATAATAACAGACAGTGATATTATGGAACGATTGTTATATTGATATAAATTTTAAATTTACCACGTAATTGTGTGCGAAAATGTCGAAAATGAATTCAGTTTTGATTATTGATAATTTTCATTATTACCTGTTTTAAATTTATCCCTTCACTATTGCTCAGAAATGTAAATATTTCTTATTTTTTGCTAATTTCCATGAACAATTATGCTTCTTTAATTTTATTTTATTTATTTAATTAAATGGTACTAAATAATGCAATGTTCAAGATATTGTTAAGTTTATGTCAAATTAAAAATTTTTTTATTATTCAATATGATGCAAATAATTTTTTACATGTGTTTGAATTATGTATTCATTTTTTTTATTTTTTGATTAAAATACTATTTCGTGTTTTCAATTATTTTTTAATAATAGTAATGCTTAACCAATTTTATTATCAACAAAATTTTATTCTTTCATTAAATCAATTTTCACGAATTTTCAATATATATTTTTTTTTAAAATGTCGATTTTATTTAAAATCGGTGCATTGTTTTGCATTAACTCTAATTTTCGTTTCAGATCTGTCATCTTTTACTTTTATATCAATTGTATTTGTATTCCAGTCAATTTCTATTTTAAAAAAGCAAAGGAAACAAAAAATGAAAAATCTGCGCGGATAATGAGATGTGTAGCTTGGGTGATTTTATAGAAAACTGGATGATAGCAATTTAATAATTAATCAGTCATATTGTTCCAGCCATTCGGAGAGTGAAATTTAGATTATAATTTTTTCTGGAAAAAAGAAAAATTTGGTAAAAAGATGGAAAGGATCTGACGTAATTTTTCCAGTTTACTTTTAACTTTTACTTTTACCTTTAACTTTAACTTTTTTAAAAATGTTCAGTTTAAATTTTATTATAATTAATTGAAGGAAATATATGGAATAAATTGGGTAAACAAGTATCGTAATTTTTTATCTGAGGAAGCTGAAAATTTTTGTTGAAAATTAAATTCCTTCAGTTTAATTTAATAATGTTTTGTTTTGATTAATACTGGCTGTGTACCGGCTATTACATGTTTTCTTCTATATATTTTTTAAAACTGCTTGTTGTGCCAGTCATAATTTGGCCTTGCAGCTCATTCGTTCATTAACGGGTGCTTTTTTTTAATTCATAAATTTGTTATTCTTTTCAAAGAATAATTTTCTTCGAAATATTATGGAAAAATTTGCGTATGTATTAATATGAAAATAAAGTTCTGATGATTTTTTGATGCTAACGCTGCGTTTATGATAAGCAGATATTAATTGAGTGATGAAAATATGCGAGTGATTATTTATTTTTGGAGCATTTCTCACCTCAGCTTTTCCAGCTTTTATTGATAATTTTTGATAAAAATGATAAAATTTATGAAAATTATTTTAAGAAAAATGAAATAAGATGATAATAAAAGTAATTGTTAGGAATAGTGCAATGTCGAAATTCCTTAAAGTGGTGAAGGGATCTCTTACAGACCTCGAATTCTTTTTCTGGTAGCATTTGACAAAAAAAATTTATATATACGTTATATATATATATATATACGTTCTGCTCTAATTCTGTTCCCAATTCTCAAGAAAGGTGATAGGACATACTTCGACAATTATCGAGGAATCAGTTTACTAGACATCTCAACGAAAATTTCTACTTACCTTTTACTCAACAGATTTATGGAAGTAAAGGCCAGCAATCCCTAATCAAGCTGGATTTAGGCCAGGGCGCAATTTTGCTGACCAGATATTCACGTTAAAAAGGGTAATAGAACATTGCTTGAAATATTTGCAACACACTGTCACTATTTCATCGACTTTGCGGCTGCCTTTGATTCAATTAATAGAGCGGCACTTTGGAGAATGATGGAACGTGACGGTGTTCCAGAGAAAATCATTAGACTCATAAAGGCATTTTATGAGCGCACGTCGGCGCAGGACTATGTATATGGGGAGCTAACAGATTCCCTCGAAATAAGAACAGGTGTCTGTCAGGGCTGTTCGTCCTTTCCCCCACAATATTTAACTATGTGATAGACTGGATAATGGACACTGCTTTTCGGCACTGAAGAGGTGTCCGAATTAGTCCAGAGCATCGTATCACAGATCTTGAATACGCTGATGATGTAGTCCTATTTGCTGACAGTTATGAAATGCAAGTAATGATAAATAATGTGTCAGAAACTGCAGCAAAAATCGCACTCAGTCAATGTGAATAAAATAAAAATCTTTTCATCTTAAAAGTTATGAAATGTGCAAAAAGCTGATAAAATACCTCTTTTAATGAATTCATTGCCAGTTGAGGAAGTGCTCGATTTTAGAAATGCCTTGGGTCCACTCTAATACCAAATGGCCAGGCAAAAAACGATATTACAGCCCGGTTGGCTTGATATTGGAAGCTGACTCATTGAAAATAAAAAAAAACTATATTCCGTAATGGCAACCTTAAATAAACTTAATACATAATATATTCGCAAAAATTATATAAAGATTCTAAATCGATGGTTTAATTTTTAAGGACCAATTTGCATATTTACATATTGACATTGCATGAGAAAATGGTTTATCTGATCTAAAGGTCATTTAATCTTATCTTTCATGGACAGATTCGTGGCGAAGTCCGCGATAGCATTTACCATTTCTGGTTGGGGTTGTTGGACTGAATATTAGGGAAAATTAAGATGAGGCTTCTCCGCCAGAGAGCCACTTGAGAATAGAAATAAATTGATCCGTCACCACTCGAAATTTTACTATCACTATATAATCAAAATATCTGAATAAAAATGATTTAAAAAACTGCGTAATTTCGTGAAATTAAGGAAGGATTCAACAATAAGAAACAATGCACCGAAAAAACAAATAAAAACAAGTAATAAGAAGTTGAATTTATTTCATTAAAGAACAAGAATCTAGAATTTGTATGGCAAAAAAATCCACTATAAATAGTAATGGTTTCTGCATCGCTTGCATTCAAAGCGAGTCTTTCCAGGAATTTCATCACAACATTTTAACAGATCTCCGTTAATTCGTTTCGCGAATAATATCTACCCATTGGTCTTCCCATCAGTTTTCGGCATCCCCTACAGAATCTTCTTTTATTTCAAGAATAGATTTTAATGGCAAAATTTAATTACAAGAATCCCAAGAATTCACAAGAATTAAAGAATGTTTTAAAAAGTGCAAGAATTTTTTAAATTAAGAAAAGATAAATAAGATAAGTTTTAGATAATATATGGGAATAATTCAGTTCTGTTAGTTCTGTCTCTTCAAAAGGTAAATTTCTCTAGAAAGACTGGTAAATCAGACCTTAGAATTTTTATTATCATTCGAGGAAGTCGGCGGTTCATAAAACCAATATGATAAACAAAGAAATATTATAGTTAAAGATTTGAGGCCAAAAGCTGAAAAAAATTCTTATAAAAATTCTTCTTATAAAAAATAAAACCTGAAAAATGTAAATTTTAATTGGATTTACAAAAAATAATCTAAAAAATTTAAGTTCTGATCGAAATTTCTGTGAATTTAAAAAAAATTGTCTAATTTGAATTTTGAAAACTAAGCGAAATTCTTTGAATGAAAATTTATGCGAAAAAAAAGAGAAAATGGCCAAGAAATTTTAAAAAATCACTCAAAAAAAGCATAGTCCTGGACAATCCTTTAATATCATAACGCAAACAAGATTGAGTTTCGTCACATTCACGTTTCCATAAAATACACGTATTATCAATGGCGAACCCAAATAGAATTGCTCCCGGAATGGATCCTTTAAAATTGCTCCATTAAGTAATGATAAGAAAGGTTTACTAAGAAAAAATATCCAAGGTGAAATATATATATGAAGGGATAAAACATCTCAATGATTGTTGCTGCGATCTTGAAGACAATGCTGGGACATTCTCCAGGCAGAAATAAACCTGCCTTTCAAAAATACAAGCGCATTGGCGACTCACCTGTATTTTTGATCTTTGCTTGATCCGATAACGAAGTCTAACTGGAAATGGTGAGTGCTCATGGAATAAAATCACTAATGAGGTAGTATTAAATTATTAAATTGCAGGAAAATGTGAAAAAAAATTTTTTAATGCAATAACCAAGAATCCGCATAAATAACCAATTAAGACATATCGATATATCTCTCGTATCAAATGCAACAATTCTATAAAACACATAAGTAATTTGATTGTATGGTGTTGATCTGGATTCAAATATAATGGAAAATCATAAGCAGTTCTAGACATATAGGGAAGAGAGGAGACAGCAGGGGACATCTGCACAAAAAATATAATTTTAGTTTATATAATTATATAATTATAAAAATATAAATATAAAAAATATTAAATATAAAATATTATTCCTTTGCTAAAATCAATCTTATTTGTCTAGCAGTCATCTGCTAATTTTTATTCTGCCGCATTAGTTTTAAATAATTTTGGCATCTTAGGCTAATCACCCACAGAGTGCTTGCTTCTTGCCTTTTGGGCAGAACACTCTACGATTGCATAAGTGCGTGCGTACATGACCCTCATATTAAAATATGTGAATAATAAAATAAACCAACTCCACAGTTATCATTAATTATCAATTAATTAAGGATTAAATAATTTGTTTTATATGGGCAGTAAGTGTAGTTCCATAAGGTTGTATTATTATTGTCCTCTTCAAGCTTGTATATTATTTAAGAAATAGTTCCAGACGCATTTTTGTGGAACCACGTCTATTCCCATCTGTAGAAAAAAAGAGAAAAAAATTATATCATTAAAGATGATGAATCATCATCTCCTAAGGATATTTCAGTCATGGATAGTGACACCATTATGTGATTCGGATTTAGCTATTGCTATTTAAACAAAGTTTCCTTTTAGAGAAAAGCATATGTCCTTTGGATCATATTGATTCTAACTCCTGAACCTCGACACCTTTATTAATCACGTCAAGGTTAAAGCAATAGTTATTTCAAAAATTCCATACTTTATACAACTTATGATAATACTAAGCAGCACTTTAGAAAATAAATCTTTTCGAAGATAATTACCTTAATTTCACTTTGAATAACTAGATGTAACAGGTTTTTAAATGGCGAAAAGTAGAAAAAAGTAGAAGAAAAAAACCCATAAACAGAGCTAAGACCTCAAAAATTCTCTGCTGAATTTTAATGTAGAAACAAGAAATTGGAAAAATAAGAGAAAAAAAAGAAATTAGATTGAAGTATATAACGCCATGTTGTGGCTGAAACAATTTTTCTATCTGTGTGAGATTTTATATTTATCTTACATTTATACTTAGGAGCAAAAAAGAGAAATGTTGAGGTTCTATTCTCTGAAGAAGTAAACCTGCCTAAAAATCCGGGTGATGCAGACTCATCTGTACTTCTATCTCCCTGGTATATTTGACAAGCCAGCAAAGCGAGTTTAACCGGTTATAAAAAAATAAAGGGAAATGAGAATTTTTAAAAATTACGGAATTCTGCATGAATTGATCCATTTCTAATGGGTTATCCTAAAGAATTGTAAAGTGGTAAGCAATCATATCACCGACCATCTATCGAAGAAATTATTATGCCTACTAATGGCAAAATATATTAAATATTGAATTATATTGTAATTGAACTGGAAGCCTAGTATTTTCAATTTCCATAGATTTTAACATCTAACCCAGTTAACATATTATAGCGAATAATCATTATGTCATTATGCGATAAGCTGAAAAGCAGGTCAAATTTTTTTTGTGAAAATTTTGATGAAAAAGGATTTAAAAAGGGGTATGAAGGAGTAAGATGAGTTCTCATTACTCTTATTTTATTTTAGAATAAATACAAAAGTTAAGGTTCTATTTATAGCAGGAATAAGCCTGTTATTCAAAAATCAGGATGGTATTGACGACTCCATCTGTACTTCTATCGACTTTCATTCAAATAATTTTAAGCCAATCAAAGTTTAATTCATCTGATATATTTGATCATTAGTTGTTTATGATAGATATCACTCAGTACTAATAAAAATTGTCTGGAAAATCATGATGAAAATCTAAGGGTACTAATATGGAGAGCAGTATTCTAAAGACGATAGAATCTGGATAATTCATCAAAAATTTTTCAAATGCCAAAAAAAAGTAAATAAGAGTGAATAACTTTTTATATTTTCAGTACAGCTATGTTCTTTGCAATAAATAATTCTACTTAGAGTACTACCGGCGTATACAACGATGTACAATAAAGGATAACAAGAACTTTATGTGTAATTTGGTCATTTGCATTTTAATGCATTTTAATGCAAGGAACCCTTCAAATTTGGAATATCTTCCTCTCTAAGTCCAAACCTAACAGATGTACTGATCATCTTGTAAATTTGTATATTACGAGAACTTGGTCAAGGAGAAGAAAGAGGTGAAGAGTTCGTGATGGATGGACAGCAATGAATTTTTTTTCTCTGCGTATTTTACATTGTTTCTACTTTTTTTTGAAATGTTTCATACTTTGAGATACTTTTTTTTTGTTGTGAAAAATTTGATCGTTTCGCTGGTGAATGCTGCATTCACAATTATATAGGTTCCATGTTGTCGGAATAAATTCATAGGATATGAATATGTGATATTCAGGTAGACTAGAATCAACCAAAGGAAGCACAACACAACAATTAATTTTGCACTTCACTGCATCGCAGTTGCTACTGGAGAACTGGTATGAAAGTTAGGTTGGAAACCACTATGCGCTAATTTAAAAAAAAATATTTTTCTCGAAAAAAATATCTTATACTTATTATACTTCACGGTATAGTTTTTCTGCTGGCATCCAATTATCCAAATATCATCCAATTCATAGCAATTTATTTCATTGTATGTCCCAAAAATATATATTCATAGAAAAAAATTCTCGAAAAAAATTTGGTAATCATTTTTGAAACTTACCTTAATGCAGATTTCTGGATTGGGATAGAACTACTAAACGCAAAGAAGCATAAACATGCGAACATTACCATGAAAATTGTTTTGGAACAATCTACATGGCAAAACCCCTGAAAATCAAAATAATTTTTCCTCATTTTTAACTTGTAAATTTTTATTATTTTTATTTTTTTAAAGTTATTACGAAGTGAATTGTTCGATGAACAACATACTTACTTAAAAAAGTGTGTATTTTTTGAAATAACCATATGAAATAAAAATTAACAAACTTTGGTAACTATGGTTTTAGCAAGCGATAATTGATTATCCTGATTCCATTGCGCAACGCAGGAACAAGATGTCCAGAATTCTTCTGAACCATTTGAATGCTAAATTTAAAGAATGGTGAGTTTTTCAACTAAGACGAATAAGAAAATTGAAAAACAATATAATGAACTAAAAAATTTAAAAATAAAAGGATGAATCTAGATTTTTTTGTAAATTAATATTGTAATTTAGGAACCGAGATGAAATTCAAAATCTCAAAAAACAGTTGCGATGTATTACGAAGTGAACAATTACAGAGTCAAGATGATGAAAACTTTAACTGGAAAATTTACTGTGCTCATATGAGTCGTACATCCCGCAAAACAAGCAGAATAATAGTTGATGTGATTTCGATTGTCACATACAGGATTGTAAGCATTAGAACAACCACATTTATTGTTGCAAGGGGCTAATAATTGGGTTGACTCGGTGGTTTTACTGAAATATTAGCGAAATGATGAATAAATTTATGATTGAAAAACTATGGTACATTCAAATTAAAATCTATTTTTCTAAAAGCAAACTAAATTGCAATTTAGTTTAAGTAAAAAGTAGTTAAAGTAAAAAAATTCCAGTGGAATCTATCATATATCTCAGCACTCTCTCTCACATCACCTCAAAATTCGTTGTTTTCTTTACAAACCCTTTTGATTTCCATGTTCTCTTTAGATTTTTCCCAAATTCCCAAAGTTGTTCTCCCCTCTTACTTGAACTCTCGTTATACTTATTCAATAAGCCCAGCCACCATCAGTAATTTGTAGATAAAGCTACAAAAAGAATTTTGATAAGATTTTAATGGTATTAAAAACAACTGGAAATGAAGAGGTAAAAAGGAGTTTAAAAAAAGGTTTCAGTATCATTATCTTATTATCTGATGAATTATAGCAAAGATCTGGGGCTTTGAAAATGAGGTATTCAACACAATGGAATTTTTCACAAAATAGGATACCAAATGGTCTATGATGGACATTGATGGACCCTTCATGGACATATTATATAAATTCTAAACGATTTGTTAAAACGAATCAGAAAGAAACTGTAGAAAATGCAAATATTTTGTATTTTATATTCTATATTTACATACCCTTCGTAATTCAGCGAAACTCCAGCAAATGGATTCTGTTTGCAAGTATGCAGGAAGAGAAGACTGAACAGCAATGCGCACAGATTGAAAAAAATAGCAAGAGCGATTGTTGGCCGATAATGGACTGTTTTTTTAATTAAAAATGCTCCAAATAAATTCCCAAATAAACCCATTGGTACCACAATCAAGCCTGGTACAATGATATTACAAAATCAAAAGAGAAAACATTATATAAATTGAAATATCCACATGTCCACCCAAAAAAGAAGTGAATGTTTTATAAAATAAAATTTTCGTATTCAATCAAGCAAAAAATATTCTTCTAAAAAATATAAATGAAGTTAATTTCAATGGTAATGACTCAAAAATGGGGCTTAGAATGGAATCATATTAAATCATTTCTATAAGATAAAACTAAAATCGAAATAACTCACCTGTAATTAATGATGCTCGACTCGCTGAATATGCGAAAAGATTTTCGATTACCTTTGGGATAAACGTAATATAACCATTCATTAAGAATGATTCTATCGTTTGCAAAGCAATTAATGATAGCACTGATGGATTACGTAGCAGATTCTTTAATAATTTTTTTTCCAAATTTTTTTCCAAATTTTTGCTGATAATAATGAAAATTTTTGAATATCACATCTTTTACTTTTTGTCTGCTCGAAAATCAAAATATAAAATCACAAATATAAAAAGAAAAGTAAATGGACAAAATGGCTATCGCTTATTTCTATCCCATGTATATTATGTATGTAATTCAGTGGTTCACTATGGTTCAGTGGTTCTGAAAGAATTTTTCTATGCCTTCAACACTCAATGTGATTTTCATATTATGCTACCAGAGAAGGAATGCATTACCGATAATAAGGTGAGGCAACATTAAACAAACGGTTGATGCCTAAAACAGTTCGTGGTTTAGTTAACTCAACTTTTGCAAATCTCTTTCCATTCCCTTTCGTAATTAATCTATCAATCTTTTTTATTTTTTGTAGTTGGAAAGCCTGGCTGGTTTAATTAAATTAGGCATCAGCCTTCTTAGCAAATCTATGCGTCTTATGAAATATTATTAATCGAAATAATTTCTTAATGTATTTCCTGTGGATCGCATTTATAGGTACACTTCGATAAAACTCGCCATTAATATAGTACAGCATTAACAATATTTAAATTCAAAGGAGCTTCAAAGGAATTACTTGAATACTTACTAAAATGATTTCTAAATGGGCAGAAATAGATTTGCCGTAATTCTTATCAAGGTCCTTGTGCGTTTGTTTAATGTCTTGCTGACGATTTTTTCGCTTTTCTAAATTTTTGTAATCGAGGTAAAACATCAATTCACCACTCAACATCGGCATATATTTCATTTACTTAATAATATTTTGAATCATATTTTTTTGAAAAATATCTTTAGTATGCAAATCGCATTTCTATATTTCCGATTAAGTGTTATAATGTTTAAATCACAGAATAGCCAAAGGAAATATTTTAATTAATGTTCGAGACGTTACTGACTTGTTTCTCAAGTTCGTAGGCTAAACTGTAGAAAAAGCGAAGCAATTAAACTAATTTTAAATTATTTGTTTTTCTTGAAATAGTCGTGTATATGCTAAATTGCTTTCATTCTGCAGAATTATGAAAGTTTATGGTTATAAACCATGCCTGGAAGTTCTTTTGGAAAGCCGAGTATAGGAATGGATGACAAAAGACTCAATACTCCAACACAAAGAAATCCTATCCACCACGCGCCATACCAACGAGAATCTGATGGACCATTTATGCCTAATCTAAAAAATATTCTCAAAGTTTTGATGGTTAAAAAGATAGATCAAAATATATCCTAGGGATATACCAATTTCAATATTTGGATAAAAATTTTAATAAAATTCATTATAACTTATTATTACTTATTTATTTTTTTCAGCTTTTATTTGAATTTTCCATATTTTTGCGGTTCGATTTAATCTCAGTTTCACTAGTTTTATTGTAATGGTTTTTAATTTCACTATTTTTAACTTTTTTGGCTTTTACAACTTGATAATAATCGTTGTATTAAACGTTGATTTCATTACGATATTATATTATAGCGACGATTAACAGGCATCCAGAATTAAATACTTACTCTTTGTAATTACTCTTTCCTATATCTCCCCAAATTTTTAAGAATTGCGCTCCGGAGATGAATCCTATAGCTGGACCGACAGTCGAAGCAGCACTATATATACCTAAAAGTAGATATGAATTCCACTTTTTAAATTAACATGATTATTTTAGATAAGAAAAATTTATAAATTTAAGCGAAAATTATGAAAAAAAGATATTTAAATGTCTAATCCTGGAGTGATTTATAAGATTTTCTTATATTACTCACACTTTATTAATTGCAGTAATGTTAGATAGAATTTCAGCGCTACCAGAAGTAATGTGCTGAACATGCTAAGTAATATGCTAAACTTATATAAACCAATTTTTAAAACTAAACTGCAATTATAAGCATTATATGGAGCAATAATAATAGAAATAGATTAAGATATTGCTCTCACCTTGGTCGAAATTAAAATTATACTTTTAATAATTTTCTTATCTTTATTTCATCTTATTTAAATTGCTGCCAGCAACAGCATATGAACCCTAAACTTTGTTTGGTTTCCTTGCTAAAAAAAGTGCGTATAAAAACCGGTACAACTTACCGAGATATAATGCAACATTCTTTTGTGCAACATTTTCATCCATATATGATATACCATACGTGAACAAAGGTGCAGCACCAAATCCGGCAAGCATTTGCGATAGTAACAACATTAGATACCATCTATTAGAAAAAGAAATAGTAATTTAGTGGAAAGAACTTTTAAACTTTTATTCAAAGTATTAGAAGGATATAGACGATCATCATCCAATTTTTAAGAAATCTGATGCTACCGCTACTTTGAAAACGTTCATCATTTCTGGTTCGCTTGGCTGATTCGCCGGACGCTAGACAAATTTTGCCAGGAAGTTGCCGATAGAAATATAGATGAGTTGCCACTATCAGTTACTGCTACTACTTTTGCTAATCGCTAATAGTTAATAATTATTTAGAAGTTAAATTTTTACCAGTAAACGAGACATATTTAAGATTGCCTTTGATTTTCATATTTAACTATTATTTGAATTGAATTACTTTATAAATTTTGAAAACATACATACACTGAATTATTCTTTGAAGAATTCATATTATGACAATCTTGGCTTTTTCTACTTGAATCACAAATGATACTGTCGTTCTCACCAACAGTATATTTTCCAGCCAGAAAATGAGGAAGTGTAACCATTACTGATCCAATTCCTAGCGATATCATACCAAAAGATATCACTCGGCCCTTGTGACCTGAAAATCTTTTGCCTTTTATTTCAACATGACCTTTCTAAAATAATGACAGACCAAAATTAATAGACCATTTATAATTTAATTTAACTAAATATACTTTCATTAATTCAGATTGAGTAAATGATGCGAATAAATAAGTAAACACATCATTCAGGAAAAAAGATAAGATAACCTGAATTTGTACAAAAAACATTTGTATAATCTTTTCTTTTCTTAAGTTTCTCTTTAAGTCAACCATTCAAGCCACCAGTGAATTGCTATCGTCATTATTTATTATTATTTTATTATTGTTTGTTATCCCTCTTGTAACATTATTTATTATTATTATAAAAAAACTGCACATAGAGCACAAAAATAATTTAATGCATTAATGCTAAGTAAAATGGAGGGCAATATTGCAGAATGGCACATTGCTTAGATTAGCCAAAATTCATGGTGTCGTTGAAGACCGATTCCTCAAATTATTCGCTGCCGATTCTAATAGCCAGTGGAGTGGACTTCATTTGATATTTCGATTTTCTCTTATTCTTATTTTTTTTTATTTGTAATATTTTTAAAATCTTCTTCACTTTAAAAAGTTTTTTTATTTGATTTTTACATTTTTTATCTTGAGAAGTTTTGCTCAGAGTTTCATTAATTCATTTAATAATATTCAGCTGATTTGACGAAATTTCCAACGAAGGTCCAGGAAGATGTATTGATTAGCAATTGCCCTAACGTAAGTTTCTTTCGTGAACTACCGAATGCGATGAATCTGTGAATACGACCTACGAATGCGTAATATTGCAATAGTCGAAGGGCTAAACAGGCAAATAAACTCACACTTTGTTCCAAAATGGCTAAGCGGTATGAGCACTAAAATAAAAGCTATATCGTAAAAGGCAGTGAAAAGTCCGGCTTGTGCGCTTGACAGATTGAAGCGTTTTTCTATTGAGGATATACTGATCGAAATGAAACCATTCACATTGCTTCCCTGACATAAAACACATAAGCATAATGCTGCCAGTAAAAATGGACTTGCATTTGCGAATTGAAGCCATGCTGGCTTAAACCTAAGCAATAATCATTTAAAATCGTTCTTTAAATTTTAAAATCCATTTCAAAGTTGTGGTACTAAAACAGATCATAAAATTTGACATTGCTCAGTGGATGAAAAAATGTAACAATTAATAATTATAGGTAAATCTAAAACAGCGACAAAACTTTCTGGCTTACTTGCCATATCCAAAACTTTCTTGCTGCGCATTGAAATAATTTTGAGGTGAATTATTTTGAGGAATGATTTTGGCTCGATTATTATGCATATTCATAAGAAAATTGATCTGAAATTCCCAACATTAAGCTTCTGAAAAAAACTTAATAAAACTTACTAAGATAAATCGAAATGAAATCTAATTTAGCCGAAAATGATATCTCTTTGAAATGAATAATTAAGAAAATAAATCGTCTAAAATTAAGAAAATTATAGCAGTAATATCAAATTTAATTTAAAAATATTTTCTATGCAAAATTTTTCGATTTTTTTTCCATTTTTCCTAATTTTTTCGATTTTGCTTATTTTTCTGACAGGAAAATTAGTAACATCGGAAAATTTGAGTGGTGCTGATGACTTGCATTTCCATGTTTCTAACAATACTAATAGCCGAATCAGAAGTGGTGTCGCTAGCCTCTTACCTTATTTAATTATTCGGATTTGGACAAGACAAAACGATCTTCCATTCAACCATTTTATAGAAAAATCAAATCTAACGACTTAGAATATATTTTTACTGTAAATATTCGGAAATTCCTGCGACTGCTGAACTAATTTTCCAAAAATCGCCAAAAATCTTCACTTAAAGTGAATAAAGTGTAAAACTCGCATAGGAAGACATATCGCTTCTATAATATATTTATTATCTAAGGAGTTGATATGATTATTTGTAAGCAAATATGATTGAAATGGTGAAAATCACTGGAAAATTTTCGCTTTTGAACTGAAAAATATTTCAATACACTTACATTATTTATATATATTCTAAAATAAGGGAATTACTGCTAAACCTATTAAATATAAATTTTATTATTTTTAGAAATCCGGTTTCAAATTCATAAGAAATATTATATCCACACCTGAGGATAAGATGAGTTAAAAACAAGCGTCAAAAGATACTGGAATGATTGCGAAGGTGATCTGTGGTGAGGGAGTGCACTGTAAAATGATGGGAGAAAAATAATATTTCCCTCTTTGTTTCGTCTTTTTTTAAAAGACTTACTATTACTAGTTAGACTCACTCTGCTGGCTTGTCTGACTAATAAATATGCAGGAGTCCTTTGGCGAACATAGAAGCACAGGTGAGTCGGCAGGATTTTTGAATGAGTTTGCTCCTGCCGGGAGTAGAATTTCAGCACTGGTAGCAACAATTCACTGAGCCATTCTACTCTCCTTTATTTTTATACGACACTGTTGCCCGACGAAGAGTGTTGCCGGATTCGAAACTAACCCTCGATTCAGTTATCTTCTCACTAAGCCCAATTTACTTCACATAATTAAGAATTTAGAATATTTTCAAGATTCTGCCGATCTTTGAACCAGCTGCAGCAGGGCTGAATTTCCGCATAAGCAGATAAGTTTTCAGAACCTTGTAAAGGGCAACAGAGATCTTCTGGTTCCAGCGGGATTTGTAGATTGTTGAATTTCGCAAAACGGTTTCTTGTCAGGATAAGAAGGACAATCAGATGATAGCAATGGTAATAAAGAATTAATCAGAATAGAAAACTTCGAAAAACAGCTGCTGTCAAAGCACTGGCTAGGTTCAAAAATTATTTTTTTCGCTCAACTGTCGTTCCACCTTCTACAACAAATGGTAAATTTTTTTATTAAAATTTTCTTTTATTTTATTCAATTTTCAACACTAAAAATTTTTTTACTGAAATTGAAATTGAAAATTGGAATATTGAAAATTTATAAAGAATTTCGTATATTCTAAAATAAACCAATAGCAAGAAACAAAATTTTACTTAAATAATATTAAATAATAATTTTACTTAAATAATATAATATTTGATCATAATATAATTTTCTATTTTTTTCTTTCTGCTTGAATCTGATTTTATTTGATTAATTTACCTGAAATATATATCTGAAATATATATATATATATCTAATACGTTTATTTAAGCGAATAAATTTTGAATAATATTATTAATAATATTATTTTTAAAATTAGAGGTGTATTGTTGCTATTTCAAGGTAATCACTCATAAATTATTTCGCTTTACTTATGATTTACTTGCAACTTTAAATTATATAAAATTATATTTAAAATATCGCGTAACACTGCGAATGACTTCGCGTAAACAGCACAGTAAAAGCAGATATCAACAGAATCGACAACGGAATCGCAACGCAACAAAAATCTTAAATGACATTTTTTTCCTGTTCCTTCACTCTATTTTTCAATCTCATAAATCTTTCAGATCTCCTAAATCTGCCAATCGCAAAACGTCCATATTTTCATGCGTATTATATTATAATATCATTTAAGAAAGAGGAAAAAAAATTGTGAAGAATAAACTCGAAGTAATTTTAGCGAATGGTAAAATTAAATTGTACAAAACTCCGAAAGACTAATAAACCCGGTAAAAAATTTGAGCGGAAGGTTCAAGAATTAAACATTCATTTTTTTTCAATAACTTGTCTCGCCAAATGCATCTAAATGGAAGCTATTTAAACTTTTTTTGAAGAAAAAATTTGCTCTATTTTGTAACTTTATGATAAAAATTCGTATGAAAATTCAATGTAAAATCAACCTGCATGAAGGTAACCAACAAGGTAGTATATAAATACGAGTAATTGATTTTTCATTTATTTATCTACGATTAACTTTTATTTACCTATGATTTTTTTTATACGTATATATATTTCCTTCTTTGTGGTGGATGGGATTATGGGTCAAATCCCAAACGTCTCCTCTAGCAGAAGTTTAGGAGACTGAGGTAAAGCAGTAAACAGTAAGCCTTCAGAGGGTCTTGCCTAAGGATTCCCACCGGAAATATAGAAAATCTAAAATTCGAACCATTTTTAGTGCGTTCCATATTAATCGCACGCTTTGATCATTTCTATATTCCGTCAATATATGTAAACTATATAATATCATTCAATACAAACGAAAAAGTTTCCAAGCATTGCTAAAAAACATTTTCTGTCCTTTTGAACTACTTTTTAAATTAAGAAATTATACGTTACGAAGCAAATATTACGAATTGAGCTAAACTGTAACCAAGGAAATGTTATGAAATTATACGAAACCCTATATTTTGAAATTCAACACCATCTGAGAATTAGTTTGCTGCATATGCAAATTTTCTCGCATTTAAATTTTCGAAATTTTTAAACACTGAAGAGAAAAAGAATTTTTCGAAAAAGCAAAGTATTTTCAAAATTGATTTAAATTTTGAATATAATTTTGGATGAAAATTCGGATTTTGGATGACACTGTAATTATTTAGTGCTCTTTTAATTGTAAAGGAACGACCGAGTGCTTGTTGCTCAGATTATCGTTTTGAGCATCAGAGCTTCGGATCTTGCCTCCAATTGTAACCTCTCAATAAGAAATCCAGACGGTGCTATTCATCCGCTTTTATTTCTATCGCAATCACCATATTACAAAAATTTCTTATATTAAGCCAGTGAAGCAAACTCATAACCGAAAATGGTGAACACTAATTGTATTCATATGCTTACTCTTCATTCTGATAGGCTTTGCTCATACATAAATAAATATAAAAAAATTTAAAAGTGCAAATTAAAAGCAAAAAAAAGATTTTGATCTTTTAAAATCTTTAAAATCATTTTTTTTGTGTCACTTTTGGAAAATTTTCTTAGAACGTTTTAAAAAAATATAAAAAGATTGTGAAAGTTGTAAATCCAAGATTATTAACAGAGAAGCTTAAAAGCTTTCAAGAAAAACAAAAAAAGAATTAAGCCAAAAATCACCACTCACATTTTTTGAATCACTAGTAAAGAAATCAATGAAAATTTTTTGTTTCAATATATATATTTATTTGATTCAATAGAATTTTAATAAGTAAGATGTATAATAGAATTTATTTTAATAAATGAATGAATGAATGAAAAAAATTCATCTTTTAATCGATCAAAATTGAAACCAGTGAATAGCTATAAATTTTTGGGAAAATTCTCGGTGACAACGAACAATATATGAAGAGAAAGACAGTTGTTCTGTGGGACACTAATAATATTGTTTAATAAAACGAATCATAAGATGGAATTTTCGGCGAAAGGCGAAAAAATTGACGAAAATTAGTAAAGTGAAATTAATTGACAGTCAGTACTTTAGAAATACAATTAATTAAGGACGGTTTTCTTAAAATTTTCTGGTACGATTGGATGTAAATTAATGGTTAGCATTACTGGTTATGTTCGCTGCACTAGTACGGTCAGAAATTTCGTCAAGGTTTCGCTTAGCGATAGAAGTATCGCCAGCACCTAAATTTCTGAATGACATTTACTCCCGTCCCGAAGTCATATTCCAAGGCTTGGCCAAGGACTTCGCTATGGCCAAGTTTTTGTCCAAGACCTAGAATTAAACCAGGAAATAGTCCTAGGCGTAAGCCAATGATTTTGTGGCTTGGCCAAGGATTTGGACATGGTCAAATTTTTGGCCAAGGCTTAAAATTAAACCAGAAGGAATCGAACCACGTTCTCACTACGATGATCTGAGCTATTTTGTTATCTTTCTTTCATTCATTAATCTAAAAACTAATAGTCATGGGCCAAAAAAGAAAATCATCTGAATCCAAATAACTTATATTATGGATAAATAATTAATTAATGAGTGCATTATTATATCGATATCGATGAAGAATGAATGAATCGTAATAAGTTTAAGTGATACAGTATACTTTTGCTTAAAATTGTCAAAATTGTCAAAAAATAAAAATAAGGCCAACAACAAAGGCAAATACAATTGAGTTGTTTGCCCATTACCCTAACGTTTGAAAAAATCAATTTGTGCTGCTGTTCTATTGTATAATTATAAATAAAATTAATGCCAATATTAGTGAATATGAGTAGTGCAATAATGTGAAGCTTCATGCCGGGCGACTTGCGAAATCGCAGTATTCTTCAGGTAGAAGGACAATTTTTCTTCTATGCTCAGCTTTAATGTTCAGGCTGAGTCAGTCAATTTAATGAAATTTAAGCGAAAATTTCTCGATGATGAATCGATTACCGTTCAACACATTCCAAATTTCGCGAATTCCGGATTTCAATGATTCTAATTTATGAACCAATAACGAATAAAATGGATTGCAAAAATTATCAAAATTATTATTTGATCGAACTGATCTGTAAAAAGCATCTAACTACGGACAAAAATATTTCTCAGATATGAAACGAATGTAAAAATAAATTATTTCACTGACGGCACATTGCTCTTTTTATTACTATAATGTGTATGGTTACGCAACGATATAATTACGAAGAATATTGCATCACTCTAATCGATAACCGATAGTGTGAAAATCTGGAAGAGCTGAACAGGAATAACGAAAGGGTTTTCCAAGGAATTTTTCGGTCAATAATAGCAGACATAAAGGCGAAATGAAACGTTGTGCGATTGCTTTGATGAATTTCTAATTTTTATTATACTTCAGTCCAATTAGAAATTCAAATTCTTGCCGCCGTACGTATATACTGTGCTCTCAACATGGATTCTTCGGTAATTATAATCATACTATTAACACAAAATTTCTTATTTTAACACTTCATATGGCTTCTTGCCAGCGAGAATTATAAAGTCGGTTAAAATATTCTTTTGGGATGAACAGCCTATGGAACAATAGAAGGGAATGGCAACGATAACTTGAACTGTATGTACTAATTAATGGAATAGGTTAAGCAGTTATATGATCTTTCCTTCTTCTTTCTATGGTCAACCTTAAAAAATGAATTTAATTTTGGTGGTAATTCCAGTGTATCGCTTATTTTTATGATTTATTTAGAGAACTCTGTTCCATTCATAAATAAAGAAATCAGAAAGCAAAAAAGTTTTGCATTTAAAACCTTTCGAAAAGTATAGTTTTAAAATTTCTTTGAAAATAAAATTGTATTCGAAAAAAAGAAAGTTCAGTTTCATGCTTGGGATCCATTCTTCATTCTATTGGAAATTACAAAAGATTTTGGTGGTGTAAAGTGAAAACTGCCTTTCAATATTTATTATAACTTATTATTTCTTAAAAGATGAAAAGAAGACCAGTACAGGAGGACCAGTGATTATGGATTTAGACGGTGGAAAAAGGAATGGCTTCCATTACTATCAAAGATGGCATCAGATCGTTGCACCATACAGCTTGGAAAAATCTTATCCTCGGAGTCAGTTTAACCAGTAAAAGTGAGAGAAGCTGATGAATATGAACATACGATGAATATTGCAAAATATTAAAATATATAAAATATTTCATAATTAAGATCCGGAAAAAATTTTCGTTATCAATGAAGAAATTTTTTCTGAGTTGTTTCTAACAACTAACATTTTTCTAACATTTTAAAATTTAGACATATAAGGGGGTTTAATTGTGCTAGATTTGCCAAGTTCTCATTAATTTTGTATTGTTGGATATATGGAAAAGGGAATCCATACAAATTAGAGTCGAAGCAATCGTCAAAATCGATAGAACCGAGATGATGTGCAATAATCACCACAGTGCTGTCGAAAAACAAAATTCGTTGTTTTCTGGAATTCTATTTTAAATTTACTAACCTAATTTTATATGTTATATTTATTAGTTTATAATGCCCATCAAATAATGAGACCCAATTCTCAATTCAGCGCAGAGATTAATGAAAATGTTTTCAAAACGTATTGAAATTTTAAAATTATAAATTTTAAAATTTTAAATTAATTTTTATTTGAAATTTTTTAAGAAATTTTAAAATTATAAATTAATTAAAACGAAGTTCTTTTTGAGAGCTTTGCATGAAAGTTTCTTGAGGATGCAGAAATTTATTTATTTGTTTATTCTATAAAAAAATTGTATAAAAAAGAGAGAAAATAAAGAAAAAATGAAAAACTTATAAATGCTAAATACTAAATTTTAAGTAGAAATATTGAAGATATTTACATATTGGAGTACTGACAATAAGTGAAACCGTATACGAATCGTACTTCCTCGAAAAAGTATGCTCATACAAGTCAACACATATTATTGGTTGTTTCCGTTATACTAAGTGATATTCCCGATACTTGCACTTAGAATTAAACTTTCTTATAATATATGCACAAGGATGCTGAACGATTCCGACCTCCCTCTCTTTTTTTAAGGAATATTTATTTTTAAAGGTGCAAATTATGTATGTAGTGCATCAGAAGACGGCTTATTTCGGTAGTTCATGTGAAAAAGTTATGACTCATGACTTCGGTTTTATAATTAGGTTCCTGCCACTGTATCCAGTAGTATTTATTTCAGTTGAAGCAAGAGTTATAGAATTTCAAACAAGCCAAATTGATAAAATAAAAAAGTATCTTATAAAAATACGCTAAATCATGTTTCCAAAATATAATTTTGGAAATTTAGACTATAATTAATGGTTGGATTAAAATTTAAATAGCAAAAAAAAAATTTTTTTTGGAAGTTTTCGAATAATTTAGCTCACAGGAGATAAGCAGATTTTATGCTGTTCTAATTGGTGAAGTCTAATTTCACCATCAAATATAGCAGCAGGTGAGTTGTTATATCTGATTGTCTCGACAAATGAATTTGTCTCATCGTAAAATAAATGAATTTAAATTATAGCTTTGCATTCTTCAATTTTTTCTAATAACTCTCACTACTGCTGGTTAGGCTGGCTCCGCTGGCAACAGGGTAAGACCTCTTCAAATTATTCGATCCAACGCTACCGTCAGCAGTAATATAAGCCATTCCCTTTTTCTTCCTATTTTTTCCGAATTAACGTCAGATTAAAATTGATGGCTTATGTACTAATTCGGTTAATTATTAGTAAGAATTGAGTTTAGTGAAAGATAAAAGAATGTTTAGAAAAACGTTAACAAGTTTACTCGAACTTTACTTAATAAGTTGTTATTGTAATATTATTTCATATTATTTCTCATGAGCTTTGAATAGAGAGATCTTATAACTCATCATTTCAAAAATTTTGTTTTTGCCAAATTTATCACTGCTTGTTTGTTTTTTATAAAAATTTCATAAAATTTCAAACGGCAATCTCTAGTACATTCGCTAACGGCTAACTAATATTGCTAGACGATAATTGCCACCCAGAATCGAAGCTTCGATTTGAATCCGCCAACGCACCACTCTTTATCTGGCGATACTGTCGGAGAAAAGTGGAAGGAGAGTAGAACCGTTCAGTGGGTTGTCGCAATTCGGAGAGCTGAAATTCTACTCCAGGAGTAAACCTGTCCAAAAATCTTGATGATGCTGGCGACTCATCTGGTACTTCTATCGTCAAGGGACTCTCTGGTATATTTATCTAGATAAGCCAGCGGAGCGAGTCAAAAACAGTAATAGTGAGTGCTCTTAAAAAAAAACACTTGCTATTAAATAATATTACACATATGGGAAAGCCTTTTAAGATTTAGTCAAATTATGAGCCTGAGCAATTTTATAATGTTTATGTATTTACGTAATGTGTGATAAAATAATTTTTTTCCTGAAATTCCAAGTCATTTCTGTTATTTCTGGTTAAACACCTATTGCACTGAATGATTCGATTCCAGTGATTCAGTGAATTGAGCTCTACTGGTTAAAGAATGGATATTTGGATGCCGAAATAGACTACTCAAACCACATAGCACAATTTATTCATCACCATTAATTAATAAAAAATTATAGAAAACATTTATGTACAAAAATTTTGTCATTCTAGCAATGCAATCATTGAAGTTTTGGCTTAGCAGCTGAAATACACGTTTGCTTAGAATTATAAGAAAATTAGTTGTGAATATAATAGAAAGTTTTAGAACATTTTTGAGAAAAACAATATCTAAAATGAAGTGACCTTTACAAAAAGGTCAAAACATTATACACGTATGCAGTTACGACGAGAAACATTACCGGGCGAAACGGATTACGGATTATTTTTACTTTTCTCAATATAATTCTTTTATACAATTTTTAGATCTTAAGACGCAATGAAATGTGAATTCTTATGGATTTGAGGCATTTAATAACGGATGTTTTAAATGATTTAGAATAGTAGGTAAGTAGGTAATAGTAGGTAATAACGAGTTTGTGGATAAAATTTTGCTCATAAATTTCATTAAATGCTCAAAGTTATTGGAGAAAAGGAGAAAATCTATTGCAAGTTCCAGATTCTATGGTACTTGCCGTTCTGGCTGTGCGCTTTTCTGCTATACTGAATGCGGATCTACGAAATACGGATCAAAATGCATATACGACACTACCAATGAAACCTGTTATTGATTAGTTTGAAAAATTTTTCGTTCTCTGGTGCATAAAAGGCCCGTAATTTCTTGAGGACATCTTCCCGAACCTGAGGATGGGCTCGACCTTTTGTCTTTCCAAGGCAGTGCATCGTATTGTCGAGTCGGAGTACACAAGGGAAGCCTTTAATCGGATCTGTCACAAAATTACTTGATTGAACAGCTGTAATACAACATGAAGATAAAACATCTTAGCAAATTGATAATACAACCTGTTCTTAAAAACTTAATGATCTACCAATATCTAAAATAATTCAGTGACCAGTGGTCCATTTTAATTAAATTGAGAGAAAATACAACAGGCTTACTCGGTTTGACACCAAGGAAATGCTCCACGATTCGAATTTCTGAAGCAGGATTTATTATAAGACGTTCGCCATCAACGAAGTGGAACTGCTCTAGTGGAAAGAACTGCAGCCATCGTTTAACGAAACGATGGTAAATTCCTATACGAATTGCACCCCAGGAAGAATTCACACCATATTTTCGATCTGCAATCTGGTTTTATAAATTACCTAATTGGTTGTTTTTTCTTCGGCTAATTTAGCCTTGTTTATTTTTATACATTTTTTATGTATTTATATATTTTCTTTGACGCTAAAGGATCAACGAAGGTAAACCTTTTGTCTCATTACTGAAAACCATTTTTTCAAATGTGGGTAATATCGACCCTTTTTTTCGCTTGCTTAGTGCTTGAGTATAATCTGAAATTTAGCGGAAATTAGAAAATTTTATGGAAGTTAAAGTAAGTATAATTTTTAACATTTAACTTTAATTTTTAACTTTATGATAAAGTGGAATTATAGGGAAATTTTCCTTATTCTTGAAAAAAAATTTGCCTGAAATAGCTCTTGTAATTGGATTCCGAGTTACAACCAAAAGTCTCATATTTTTATCGAATTTCCATACTCGTTCTGGAGCTGTTTTGCTGATAAAATATGCCGGAGTTTTCTCGAGTGTTATATCGCTGCTATTGGTAAGCGGCATTTGATTTCTATTGAATGATGAAAACTCGTGAGTAATTAAAATAATTAAAATTAGAAATTTATAAAATTTATTTCAAACAAACTAAACATTTTTAGTTAAATAGTTCGTAGTTTGCTTTAATTATATTCCCTAACTGTCATCGAATGACTGCAGAAATTTATAAGCCATCACTCATTTAGCAGTTGCGTCAATAATTATCAAAATCTCGACAATTCTTTCTATAAGAAGCCGACCTTCACGAAATGTCGAAAAGGGGAAAAACGACCAGAAATTCGATAACCAATACCACTATCTACATTATCTTATGATCTTGAATAGCCTTTAATTGTCCTAATAAATCTATAGAATATCCTTATAGCCTTGGTGAATTATCAAATTAATGTTTAATTATTTGTGGCTTTTACCCGATGCATTTGAAAATTATTCACCAAGCGGTTGGAAAAAATTATTGCAACAATATTTTTTCATATACAGTTTTTTCAATAAATATAAGTGTTGCAAAATACTTTTCAATATTTTCAGAAAATTTTCAAAAAAATGAATTAAAAATACAATTATCCAAAATTATTTTTAAAATCTTATATTTTATCTAAATCTTATATATCTAAAATTTTTATTTTCTGTGCGCAATTTTTTAAAAATTAGCGATCTTTTAGGAATTCAAAATTGTTATAAAATGATAAGATATTCATGTGATTCATGGAAATCTAATATTTATTTATTTTTGCTACTAATGTACTACAAATTATATCTCCTTTCATTTTTAAGAATATAGAAATAAGATTTTAGGTCAAATGATATTTTATTGAGGCGAGAATAGCACTTAATAGCATCCTATCATTTAAAATGAATATAAATGGTGCTGAAAACCCAGTTGCACTTCTATCACGAATTAACTAACTCTTGGAAAAGTGATCATAGGGCCAAGATTAATGCAGCCAGTAGAATTTCCAATAATCACAGCTACAAGAGTAAGTAATCATGGACAGAAATAAAAATCGCGATCGAAGAATTTGGAAGAATATATTTCTATATTTGTTCTAATAATAATAATAAAAAATATAATCTTAACAAGGCTATATTTCGAATGACTTTATCTATGAAATTTAGCTCGACCTTCAATTTTGTTGTTTTGGGTTAATCATAAATAAATAAATATATCGCAAGAATTGTCTGAAGATGCCTCAATACCAATATTAATCTTCCTGCAGCATTTATTTGCTAACCGATTAAAATGGTACTTGCTATGGAAACCCAAAACCGGAAACTAATCTATCTCGTGCTTATTCCTTTTAGTTATGCAAATATTCGGTATTTCTTGTTAAGATTATTATTATTATTGCTAGACCATTTATTTGTTTAATGATTTTGTTTTCTTTATTTTCAATTGATATTGATTTGGTATTGAAATATAACTCAAAGTTTTTTTCCTTATGTCACATTACTTTAAAGGAAAGATTAAAATGACTGGGCAAAAAATGAGATGACCAATTAATTTATTAAATAGCATTTAAAACGAAATGCATGAGGAAGGACGATATTCATTTAAAACCATAAAAAAATGAATAAAAGTTAGAAAGTTAAAGTTCGAACGAAACGAATCGTTTCTAGCAATGAAAAAAAATTCCACTGCAAAAATCAAAGGCTCATATACAATTCTGGTAAAATCTTTCAGGCCTGAGAAAAGTCACAATTTCTATCAATTTATCTGATGACAATGCTTTCCCTTTAAATGAATCTTATTTCATAATCTTATATATATACTTATTTATTTGTTTGGTAAAATATAAATTGATTGTTTATTAGAACAATTTCTGTGTATTCTGTGTATTTTTTATATATTTATAAATATATACATATATATATATATAATTTTACGGATCTACAAAAAATTAACAACCATATCATATCATTCTTAATTAATATCAAATGAGAAATATTAAATATTCAAAACAAAAAAATCTTTCTTGAAATACTACAAAAATAGGTTGTCTGATAAGAATGACAAGACATAGATCTGAACTACGTTAAAGACGAAATTCTTTATTCCCTTCGTTCAGCCGCAATTTACTTTAGCTTTAATTTCTTGGATATTCTAAATTTTTATTATCGAATTTTCGATCTTTAAGCATTTTATATATTTTGATTTTTACCACCCTATATGGACTTCTTTTTTTGGCTGCGCACTAATCCATGCAAACGTTTTGTTATATTCTGCTAATAATCTAATAATTTTGATTGGTTTATTCATGTGATTTCATTGCAACATCTAAGATTCGAAATTTTTTGCTGGCGATCGGTAAGAATGTTCACATATTTACAGTTTTTGTGTTGTTTTAGAAAAAACATAGTAACTTGCAAAACGTTTGAATATTTGGATTTTCCTATATGAACAGCTTATTTATAAGCGACTATTGATGATAAGCGTAAAGGTTGCTCATTTTAATATTTCTTTCTTGGATGTGCCATTTTATGAAATAAAGAAGTGGTGTAATAAGTCGAAAGAGGCTACTGGATGATGATCCATAAAAAAGTTAGATCGGGTAGATTATGACGACTTAATTCCTGCCAAAAAACGTAAAGTCCAAAATTTTTTCTATCACTGACAACAAAATTTATGAAATTTTCGGCACAAAAAACTTAAAAAAACAAGACAATGAATATTTTTAGATTTTAAAATATACCCTTAGCAAGCCATATGTTTTTATTCTTCGCCATGGATGAATTCAACAGGTGTCATTAATCGGCAATCGACGATGGTCATTGAACAAGTGATTGATTGAATGAAGCTGAATTTAGACATTTGACCTCAGCTCCTCAACTCTTTCAAATACTTTCTATGCTTCTTTTATAAATAATATAAATTTCAGTTCTATATTTGTATTTGATATTTTATTTTTGATTAATTAATGCATATGTACTGCCAACTTTAATTTCCCACATCGTTCATTAATTTACTCAACGGAATGAAAGTTTTGTTATATAATAATATTTGCTAACAGATAAATGTAATTTAATCAATAGGATTACTTAATAGGAAATTCATTCATTTCGATGTTTCACTTTGAAAAGATTCATTAAGAAATTTGATTAGATATCTATGGGAAATGGACTTAAGAATCGATTTGAAGCAAATTTCTCATAAAGATAAGAAAAAAATCGGCTATAATTACAGAACAGTTCAAAAAGGAAAAATATTTCTTAAAAGATAAAAAAAAAGAAAGCAAAGAGAAATATTTTAACTGTCTATTTATTTCAGTTAGCCGTTGGCTTTTATCATTCCTGATGCTCGCTACATTGGCAATTGAAGTGAAATCACTTTATCAGAGAGTCATTAGAGAATAGAAATTCAGGCAAGTTTCTGGCACCAGCCAGACCTTTTTGGCGACAGGTTCAGCCTTACACTGGGCAGACTATGCTTGAACCAATAAGCATTATCTAATACGATATTTGCTTTGGTGTCTATCTTATTTCAGTTGTATGTTATGAAAAAAATAAATAAAAAAGAATAAATAAATTTGAGATGTGTTAATTATTTTAGCATTCAAATAAACTTCTGCTTATACTTTTGGAAATGATCAATCGACTAATTACTAAGGTAAACGAGGAGGACTTACACTCATTACACTCATGTAAACTGAATGTAATTTCAGCAATTTTAATAAAAGTGAATGGACAAATCTCCAAACTGACGAAATGTTTTATTAGATCCAATAAAAAAATCATTATAACTAGCAAAGCAAATTGCTGCTACAATTGTTTAAAACGAAGTAGTCAGCTGTTACTACAAATAATATTCAACAGTTTTTGGGTTCATAGCTTTTATTAAAATAGCCAGCGAAAAACAAGAAATTAGTTCAAAAATCGCATCGATCAAATAATCATAATATAAGCTTTCAGTCAATTAAATTCATAATTATCGCTTGTTGCACCATAATTTGAAAAAGATTACCTTTGTAATCTTTAATATCCCTATTTTTCCGACTTTTTCTAATTTTTTCTTCATAAATTTTCGTTGGATTCATAGTTGCTTTTAACAAGTCGAGCAGATTTTCTAGCTACTTTTTATTTTTCTTAAAAAGATCCTTTATTATTTCCCAAGGCAAAACAGTTTTATTTGATTTTTAACAAATAATCGTCCCTTTAACGATAAAGTCTTAAAATTAATTAGATTTCTTTTTTTGCAATCCATTTGCCGACAATTTGTGCATTCAATGCTATTTTTACTACATTTGCAGTTCGATATGACTTTTTTGAATTTTGAAATTCAGCCTTAATAATAATTTTTTTTTAAAGATCATATGCCTAATCATTTCAATTATTTCAATGGTTTCAAGATCAGTGCCATTGCATTGCAGACCCATGAATAAAAATTAAAATGATATTCAAAAAAATTTCTATCAAAATATATTCTTTAGTAAACTTGCTTGAAAGTATAATCACTTACTACAAAAGCAATTATAATGTGGCACTTGTGTTATCATTTGTCCCTAATCAATCTACCAATCAACCACATTATGTTCCGCATAATTTTGCATATTAATTTTTTTTTATAACTTTAGATGATATATTTACTTAGGAATTTAAAATTCCTCTAATGGATGGCCGAATCAAGTTTTTTATTCAAAGTTTTTAATCAAGTTTTTATTCAAAGTTTTTAAAATTTTAAAAATTTCTTGGAAGTCTGATTTGAATAAGGATTTCTCCTATTGTATAGCAAAAATATAGAATGAATAGAATAAATCTATTTAAAATTCTCATGAGTTGAGGTTTTTCAAATGAAATTAAAAACCGATAAATTCGTTTATTAGCTTTCCGATTAAAATATAAAACCATAAAATTAAGCATTCTTCATGTTTTTTTTAAAAAATTTAAGATTAACTTTGTTACACGCAAATAAAAATTTCATGGTATTGATTGTAATTTTGAAATTTATTTCATAGAACGGGATTAAAATCCTAGAAAATTTGCTTGAAAAGAATGAGTCCAAAATTTGCTAAATAAATGAAAATTTTGAAGAGTGCAATAGAGGATACATTGCAAAGAAAGAAAAGGGGCAATCGGAATGGATGCTTTTAACGAATTATAAGAAAGTTTCTGCTAGGAGCTGCGTTGAATTTAGCTAACTTTTCATTAACGTATATGCAGCGTCGTTTATGCCAAATATTTCTCGCTTCATTATCAAAATTACGATGGAAAAAGATGACGGAGTTCATCTTACATGATTCAGAATAAATGATCTTTCAAGGATCTACTGCGTCTTGCTTTTTATGGCTTATTAGTTCGGCTCATTCATGACTAAAGGTAGTGAAATCGCTAATCTTTTGAAATTTGATATAAATAAGGTAATGAAATTTTGTCATCTGTACGATCGAACTTTAACGGGTTTTTTTATTTATAAGAATTTTTTAAGAAAGGCAGAGAAAAAAGAAATATTCCCTTTCGAAAAAGGCACTTTCTTCTCTTTACTGTTTTACTCTTTCGCATATACATTTTTCGATTACTTCCTCACTTGAAAATCTTTACCGTTTATGTGACATTTATGGAGAAAAAAGAATAATAAAAAATATATCTCTATTGGAAAGAGGTAACAATTGTTTGATTTTTTTTTGTACGATCATGGTTTTGCAATTTATATCGAAATTATTCAATTCGTTATCTATTAGTCCATGCTTTATTGAATCAATTAAAGTTAAACGATTCTTAAACAATTTCCTAAGCAAATTATTAGTCTCGGCATACATTCATGAAAGATAACAGCCTCAAGCGTTGTGGATTCAATATGCATTCGATGTTTGAACAACCTCCAAAACTGAATCTTTTACCATCGTTCCTTCTAATACTCTTGGGATCTTACTTCAAGTAGAATAGACCTTATAAATATGAAATAGCTTGATTTCAATTACAATATTTTTCCATCAAATATTAGTTTCATTTGGCTGACAGCAAGAAATTGCAAATTAAAGAAATGGTATAACAGTGTCCAAAATATTCATTTTTGCGCACAAATAGTTGCCCTCTTTAAACGGCTGAAATGCTGTACATGAAAACGGTATGTGGTCGAAAAAATTTTTAAAGATACAATTCCAAAAGATACAATGAACTTCTAATTAAGCAATAAATCATTGAGAAGAAATATTTATTGCGATAACCTTCGTAAACCGCGAAACCTGTTTTCCATATTTTCTTAGTCTATGATTCAACTTATGCTTCACTGTATTATCCTATTCATATCCCCAGAATTTCTCTACTATAGTGCATCGAGAAAGAGAATATTTCCTTTCATAGGAATCGACTGAAAAGAAAATGTTAACAGCAAAATAGTATTCCAAAAGATTGGAGGAAAACTCTGATAAAAAATATGTTCATAACTCTGATAAAATATAAAATTAATTGAGAGCTTTCTGCAAGTTGTTTTAATTAAAAAACACCAATTTCATACATTTTTAATGCAAATCTTTTACAGTCGACAGCTTCATCAAATAAATTACTGCTACTGATTAGTTTAAAGTGGTCTAAAAATCCATAGAACTATTTTAGAAAAAGTAGAAAAAAACAGCAGTCGAAAAAATACTTTTTATTTTTAATAGGTATAATAATTATATATATTATTTAATTTTATTTTCCATTTCACGGACTAGGTTAAAAGTATCATATTGAGGCCCTTAAACAAAACCTGAATGCCTTACAATTTTCGCAAATCCGAAGAAAAACCTGAATACTACCTCACCACTTTTCTCACAAATTAAATCAAAATATACGTCCTCAAATAATATCCAATCAAAATTTCTTATTGCTCCCTAGATTTACTAATATTCTATATCCGTAAATTAAATCAGAATGTAGATAGTAGCCTTTGTGAATTACTGCTTTCAGGAATTAGTTTTTATATAAAGGATTTTCTAAATTTAAGCTTCTTAAATAGAGCGTATTCAACACCAGATGCATCATTTCGATTTCACTGATTTATATTTGGCAGACATGCAAAATTTTTAAAAAAGATACATTTGGTATTGAAAATTAAAAAAAATTAGAAAGTTTTGCTATCCGCAAAAAAATCGGATTAAATACTGGCAATAAACAATTCGAAACATAGAAACTAAAGAAGCAATTTTTGAAATTGAAATTTTTCATTTTTTTATTATGGCAATTCGACTTTTCATTAATTAAATGTTCTACTGAGATTTGTATTTATTACTATATTTATTGCTACTTTTATTTTTGATATATTTATAATATATACATATATATATATATATATATATGCTCAGTTTTCTAATTAAGCCTATTAGAAAATTTTTATATAATTGAATCGCTTTCATGTTTTCACGAGGTTTTCATGGCAGACAGATCGGAATAAAAATACTTTAAGTATAAGCATAAATCGAAAATGCATTACTTATTGGCATGCCAGCTTTCTTTAATAACATATGGCTAAGTACCTCATTTTGGCTATTATAGGCTATTTATTAGACGAGTGAGATTAATTATGGCATACGCAATGTATAGTACTAAATCATTAAATATTTCATCGATCTCCTTATGGCAGAAAGAAACCTCCATTCGGCTTTTTTCTTATTATAAAGCCGATGACTATAAGCAAGTTTTGTTCATACTTATATTGATCATTTCAAAGTTTCCTTTAAAAATAACTCATTTTGGAATTGCAATCCTAATAGAATTAAGTACGATGGGCCCTTATTCACGCATTTAGCATGTTGTAATTAGCAAACAGTGATAACAGGGAAAAAATGAAACCAAAGCAAAGTGTTTATAATTGAATATGAAACTGAAAGAAATGAAGTAGGAAAAATTTCAGCTGATGGTCTCATATGCATTCTTAATAATGTTGTATCTACCAAACACAACACATAAAGTATAGTGCCAACCATCTCATCATTATTGCAAACTATTCTTTCTTACAATAATCTTAAATTTGTCGTTATCAATAGTTAATGAAATTACTATGAAATTTCAATGATTGAACTATCCGAAATATTTAAATTTAAAGCTACTAAAACTGAAGCAAAAGTATAATGGGTTTAATGAAAGTTTCATGAAGAAAATATTTTACAAGAATGAATAAGTAGAATTTTATTTCGATTTTTAAGCATGCAATCTTATTATTTATTTATTACGCAATATATTTCAGCATAAATCTTGTTTGATAGCGAATTACTGACTGCTGTTAGGTCATTTTCATTAAAACTGTTTAAGCATATCATTTCTGCATGAATTGGGATTTTCAAGAAATTACAAACATTTAAAAAATTTTCCAACTGCTATCACTCTTTTAGCGATTTTATAAGTAAAAATTATGAGTTTAAAAATGTTAGATATTAGTTATAAACATAAATATTCTGGTTTTTCTTTAAGAAAAATAATTACAAAATAAAACAATATAAAATAACCAAATAATAATACCAAATAAACCTGTTGATTTTTCAATGCCACCAATTACTAATAAAATCTAATAATTATTCAATACTTTGGATTATTGTATAGGATTCTCAGAAGGGTGCAAAGGTCATAAAAATTTTTCATAATCGTTTAGTAGTTAAGATATTGTGGCGTAATATGGGTGCATATCAAATCGAAACCAATAGTGAAACTTTTATTACGTAAATAATAAGAGAAATAACTACGAGATCCAAATATGGAAATTTAAAATGACTTCAAGATCCAGACATGGAATTTTGCTTTTTAGCTGTCATTTTACCAGCTAATTAAACTTTATAAAAATTCAATTTTAATCAGATAATCCATCTCTCATTCTAATTAATATCTAAGCATAAGCGTATAGATTTATGAAAAAATTCGGTATTTAAAATTACGAGCCAGATTAAAAAATGATATGTAAATCACCCATTTTGTCTTCTCGATTTTTTCAGCAAACCCTGCTTAAAACTATCCAAAGGCAATTATCATAAATACCAGTGGTGAAATAATTATTAACTAACTATCGCTATTAGATTGTCGAGATTCGATCAAGTTCTTGCTATAAAAATAGAGGATTGATCAAAAATAGAAACTCAATTGCAGATAAAACAAAAATAAAGAAAAAAATAAAAATAATCGGTAAGATCGAAGCAAGATCACTGCAAAATTAAAGATTTTCGAAAAAAAGATTTTCTTAATTTCCATTGATTATGTAAAAATATAAGACAATAAATATAAATTTTGCACAGGATTATTGCTAAACAAATCTAAAATGATTGTTTTTTATAAAAATGTATCACATACTGCCGAGGAGGAAGAGAAAGATTATCCATATGGATTGAATGTATACAGAGTTATAAAAAAAATCATATTTGGAATTTTTAAAAAATATTAAAAAGTCTGTTTATTAGTCGTATTTTATCATTCATTTTATCATTTATCTTCATTTCTTGGTGCTTCATTTTTGAAAACATTGGTTCTTAATATAAACAAATATCAAATTTTTGGAAAACTCACCTGTACCATTCGAATCCTTTATCGAAGTATCGATCGAAGAAATGTACTTCAGGGCCAGGTGCCTTTATTGATGGATTGAGTCGCAAAAATTCAAGAAGTGCTCTGGTTCCGGCTTTCTTCACTCCGATTATTATCGCTTTTGGGAAACGCTTTTGCGGAATCTCAGAAAAACAAGAACAAATAAATGGAGGGATGAAAAAAATGATAAATCGAATCCAGCAGATCATAATATTACTATAATTATACGAAAAATAGACCAAGCAGTGAGCTTCAGCTATGTAATCTTATTCCGAGGGAAAGTCGGAGGTGAAGATTTGAGATTTAAAAAAATTCATAGAGTATTCGATGGATGGCGCATGATAATTACCGTGTATCAAAAACAACCATTGAGATTGGAAGGAAGGTGGATTTACCAAGTTTTAGTGATGGTCTAGCGAAAAAAGAAAAAAAGGGCGTGCCAACCCATAAATGAAGGTGATCAACGTTTTATTAACATGGATGGATCGGGCGGAGCATACTTGCGGTTCTCCTAGGTATGTGCAACTTGATGACACCTGCGACACCCCTAAGATCTACTTTTTTAAAATACCCCGCAGTTCTCTAAACACCTAACTTATTAAAAATAATCTATCAATTCAAATTTTATACGGATTATGCACAAAGGTTTTATGCTAATGTCGCATTTAAATGAAGCTAATACGTTTGCAATATTATTCACAGAAATAAGTAGAGAAATAATAATCATAAATTTAGTTATTCCACAAATGTTCGATGATGCATATCGAAAATTTAAGCGGTAATTTAATTTTTATTTCGAGGTACATATTTAAAGAGAAATTGCGCTTTAATCCATCCGCGATAGTTATTTTTTGAAGCAGCAATTCCTAAATAATTGATAATAATTTTGGCTTTTTAAGATTTTGTAATTATCTCCATAACTGTATTTTTAATTATATAACTTCAAATATCGAATTAAAACAACATCACAAATTCTCTAAAAGATGGCTTAATTAAACAAAATGGATCCAAAATAGATCCACTCTGTAGATGAAACATTAGAGGTGGCAGAGAGCGAAGGGAGAGAGGTGTGCTGGAAGCTTGATCTAAGAAGCAGTAAATGCTAACTTTTTAAAGCAACTAGTGAATATAAACGAACTCTCCACCCGAATTTGCATCACCTATAGGTTATAAATTAATTAAAAAAATATAAGTTCATTTTTTTCTTTTCTTTTCTTATTTACTTGAATTTATTTTATTTTAATGGAAATTAAAATTATTGGCTACTATAATAAACGCAGAAACGCAGAAATCAGCTGCAAAAAAAGTAAAAACTGATTTTAAAAAGTGATTAATTTTTTTTGAATTATAGATTTATTTATTTCGATTTATTTCAGAAAACTTTGATTGTGAAACTCTTAGCGTTTTAAAAATTTTGCTTTGCTTATTTTAAATTGTTTATTTTATTTCCAATCATTCCTCCATTTACATCCATTCTTTACTTTTTTCCATTCTTGCCAGTTTGTACGAGGCTTATCGATATTTAAGCCAATTCAATTACTAAAATCGCCTCGAAATCCTGGTCATTTCTATTGATTATGATTAATGACAGGATATGCGACAACTTAAAGATTATGGCGACAACGACGACGACGACAACGATGATGGTCCATTTGTTAATTAATTTTGAACGTGATCATTGTACGCGATAGGGAAATTTTAAAATATTGGTAATAGCTTGGATAGAATGCAGAATTGAATTGAATTTCCCGCTGAATGTTTATTTTTGTATTATTTTCCACATTTTTAGTAATATTAGTTTGTCATTTGTTGTCATTATATTAATTGTCCGGTTTAAATCCTTTTTAGATTCGAAAGCCGATGAAATTTTAGATGAAATTTGAGAATCATCCTTTCACTTCATTTTTTCTCTTCGTAAAAAGTAAGTTCTGATGAGTACTTCAATAATTCTCTTAGTGTCCCCATGTCGCCATTTAGCTGTATGCACAAAAATTTTCTTTATAAAATGATGGCAAATTTCATTATAAGCCATAATTATATTTCAGCTATTTTTAAGGCTAATTATGAGGTATTCAAGATTTAAATTTTTGTATTTTTGTCATACTATGGTAGTTTTATGTAACGTATATCTATACTTCCTGCGATATTTTTAACATATTTCACAAGTGCAGATTTTTCCTCAATATAAAATATTATTAATATTTCAATGAAGAAAATAAAAGATGATTTCCTGACATTTCATCTTATCTCAAAGAGTATTTCAAAAATAAAATATAAGAGGCACAATGGTCGAGTGATATGTTGCTTCGCCATCAATTCAATTCGTATCCTTTGACAGGAGCAAGTAATAAAATTTCTCCCAAAAACTAGTGGAGCCAGTCGAACTAGAAATTTACTTTTAGAAGAAAAAGAATCAGTTAACTATATCAGCCATTATCCCCATATGCTATACAATATTCTTTATATAATTGTAATTTTTATCGACTTATTCGTTCTAATCGAATTTCGTACAGTGTAGTTGGGTATAATTAGAAACATATTTCGGATACATGTAATTAAACTTTAAACTAATAGAATAATTCATGCTTGAATTCATTGGAAATATAAGATAACTAATCTAATTTACTCGACTCATGCAATATTTAATTGAAAAATCAGATGTTTCTTAATGCAGTTGATGATGTTAAGGGAATTTATTATGTATAAAGCTTATTTAAGAAAAAGCAAATTAGCAACGAATTAGCCGTGATCGCTCATAACTTTAATCGCACTTTCTCACTTAGAAATGATTTTTTTATTTTTTGTAGAACATTTCCTAGTCTTGCGCGAGGATATCTCTTTATTCTTATAAATATATTCATATGACATTCTAACACTCTTGCTATTTATTTATTGATAAAAATGACACTACTGAAATTTATTATGCAAACTCTTATTCTCGAATATTTTATGAAAAATAGTTTTGTAGATGAAACGTTGCGCTAGCTATATAAAAATGAAAGCGAAAAAGATGGTGCTACTGATAATTTTCTTTTAGTTGGAATGGTATATTTGGCATAAACTCTAATAACTCTAACAATTTTCGCCAATTTTTTCAAACGCTTTCGTATAATTTTCTAGAATTTTTAATGAAATTCAGAAATTCAGAAATTAGAAATAAATAGGCATTTTTTATTAATGTATCAGAAAATAAAATTTCATTGGAAAATTATGAAAATTTATTTAGAGTCATCGAAACTTTCGTTCATTATTCAGTTTGATAATTACGAATTCTTTATATTCAATATAATTTTTTCTATTATTTTTAATCTCGATTTCCGATAGTCATTACCACGTAAACCAACAAGAAAGTTTAAACCTACAAAAGAATTAAAACGGTTCGATATTTTAATTTCATGAAAAAAGCACATGACTGAATGTGTAACAATGAATTGTAATAATAACAAAGTTTACTCTAATATGATCGAAAATCCCCAATCCCCTGTTTACGTAACAAGAAGGTGATTTTCCTAGAGGATATGCAATAAGCTAAAGAAAGTGGAGTGCATAGGCTTTAAAAGTATGTAGTAAGCATGTAGTTAGTAAGCATTTTTTAGCGAAAAGTTTTTTATTATAATATAATACGAGATACGAGATTATAATACGAGAGTTATTTCGAAGATTTTTATGTCAAAAATGCCGAAATTTTTCAAAATAAATATTGATGAACGGAGAGAACTCGTAAGCTTTCTTTACAGTTCGTTATTACTTTATTATTTTAATGAAGAATCCGAACAAAGAACCATTGTTTCATAAAAATAAGTTTTAACGAAGTTCGAGCAAAACGATTCATCGTAGAACAATTTATTCATGATACTCTGTCCTTTCCTTTCCTGTGAAATATGTATAAAACTCAAATCAATTTAAATGTTGAATGAGTTTGGTCTTTTTTATTTTGCTTTTCTTACTTAATAGATCATAAGCGTTAGAATATTGCATTTATCCGATGAGGTGCCGAAATAAAAAATTAAAATTAACACTCAGCTAATCGGAGGATGAAATGTTCAACGAGGACATCTCGAAGACGTGTCGGTTATTACCTACCCACCGCAGTTCAAATTTTGCAACTCTAGATTTGTGGTTCCAGTTTAAAGAGTGCAATATATTATATTCTGCTCCAATAAAGTTTAAAGAATTAAGGAATTCCAGTCTATTCACTTTCCTCATACAATATTAAATAAGATATGGACAATAAGATATGATCATTTGTTTTTTCTAGTCTTCGCCCAAATGATTTGGACACTTAGCTGATAAAGATTTAAATAAAATTTAAATATTTTTAAAGAGCCCTTACCATTACTGGTTAAACTCGCTCCGCTGGCTTGTCATACTGTACAAATATGTCAGAGAACCCTTTGATAATAGAATTACAACGATTTGCCAGCATCTCCCAGATTTGAACAGAATTACTCCTGCAGAGAGTAGCTCCGCATCGGCGCTCCAAATTGAGCAGCAAAGCCCGTTGAGCCATTCTACTCCTTACATTTAAATATACGTGATAGCACTATGATCGAGCGGTTTTTTGCTTAGGTTCTCAGGCGTTTTGGTTTGGTCCTAAATTCTCATTAAATAGTCTGAGTCTAATACTGGCGACCTATCCATATTTTTATTCTCATTCTAAGACATTCTAATAACATTAGCAAATGTGCTGATGGATGCTAGTCGATAACAGATTGAAAAAATACCTTCATGATTTATTAATGATGCAAATTTCAATGGCAACTGAGGTTTCACTATTTTTTCCAAACCTCTTTTCATTTAACGTAACAATATTTAACTAAAATTGTTGGATTTTTATCGTGTGTTGTAACCACTGTCGAATGATAGTTGAAATATGCCATTGAGATAATCAATGCCAACACAACATCTGCGGATCGTTCCTAATTAAGTTAATATCATGCGTGCCGACCTTAATGGAGCACTAAAGCAATTGGATTAATATAGAGTGCAAAATTTTAATTAACATTACAAGCACATTAATAGAGGAGTAGGGGAATCGATGAAATTTGAAGCAATTAAAATAATAAATATTGATTAATTAATGACAAACATTGAATTAAAAATGACAAAAAATAAAATGTTTTAAAAAGAAAAAGAAGAAAATATTTCTTCGTTGTAATGTAACAGTATTTAACTAAAATTTTTTAATAAATTAAAATCTTAATAATAA